GGGGGGGGGGGGGGGGGATTGTACTGTTGTATTATTTAAGGAAGATCGATGCTCAACACTATTGTACATATACACGTATCTTGTGTCAAGGTAACGTTGGAGGAAATCTTATAGTTTAGTATATTTTAACGGAGTCGTCTTCGGTAAACGGTTCGTCGCGTATTCTCGGATATCGCGCGAATCCCTCTGCCTCTCTTCCCCTTTATCATTTCATGTGTCCTTTCATGAATTTCGCATAAATCCCGCTCGTGGCAATTTCGACAACGCGTAGCGCGCACACGCTGGGAGAACGAAATTTCTCCTCTTAGGCGAAGTGTGTGTGAAAGTACAAAGTATTTGCAAACGTCGGCGGCGATCCGTAGCGCGCAAGCTCGGTCGACTTCTGTGGTACATTTTCTTTTTATCCCTCCCACCCCTCCCTCCTCGTTCGGTGGATCAAACATTCCAATCACAATCGCGAATCGATCGACGAATTTCTCGCGGCGGGCATCCTCTCGCGAGACGTACGATAGAGCGTGCACGGATTACGGGCCTAATCTCGGCTAATTAATTACGCTCCTTGGGATCAAATCGTCAATAGCGTCAATCCTGTAACGACGTGCGTGGAGAGACATTTATATACGTATAAATAGCGGCACATGTGTTGTAGCAAGCGTAGCGGCATGCGAGATCGACAATCGAGCGCTGATCTCGCGGTGATTTCACGACATCAAACGTACTTATCGTTGTTCTATATTGAGATAGAGAGATGTTAGAGATATATAACGGAGATTGTATAGATTATAGTACTCGCTAGATGCGGTTAGAGTACGAGCGTTGATGAAGGGGGCTTTACGAGAGGAATTATGTTTCTAAACTTGTTGAGGGTTTTCATATCAAGAACTTTATATAACGCGATAATTATGGAGATGTTAATATACGTTCATTTAGAGCCGCATCGTCGGACTCGACTTTAAGAATTGCGTCTCCTCCCCGGCTCGTCCCGCGAGAGGAGGAGGAGGAGGAACGGTCACGCATACATACACGTACACGCATACACTCACACACATTGAGAGCGTTCTTTTTTCTTATAGGGTTGTGAATATATAGTTATAATTAAATTATTTAAGTTCGAGAGATCAAAGATCTAGGTCGTATCGTTACTTGTAAGTGTTTATCCGTCTCTGTGAGTGATTCTATGAGCGAGATTGTGGCGTGAGACGATTATCTGTATGTCGAACGTAGAAAGAAAATACACGAAACGTACACACACACACACACACACACACACACACTTACACATATACATTGATTGTCCGAGTAGGAGTTTAGAAGGTAGCGAAGTACTTCTTATTGTTTGTGCCTTTATATTTAACATATTCTCTACTTGATAATAAACCGAGACACGATTCTAAATATCCTTTATCCACGATCTGTCTAATAATCCATATAAGAGAGATGTTTCGTAAAAGAGAGTTTCGTAAAATAAAAGATATCTAAGTTGACTGAGACTTGTCAATGGGTTGTTTATTGTCGCACCTAATACTATCGTACATATTATTGTTTTTCTTCCATAGAACTACGATAAATTTTATCATATTCTCCATTCTTGACGTTTAAATATCCAGCTTAAATGCCATTTAAATCTTAACTCCTAACCTAACCTAACGGGACCATCGTTCGTGGACTCGCGATTACACGTCACTGCGCTGTTGCGGTGTGACGTTGACATATACTGATATATATTATTATTGTATCATCTATTGTCCGATTCTGCCAGGACTGTTTACATGGTTGGTGTATAACGAGTGCCTTCTTTGTCATAAAATCAATGAAAGGAAACACATTTTATTAATAAATCGTGCAGGTGTCTTATACGTTTTAGATTGTGTTTATATAGGTTTAAATGTTTTTCAGCAATCGAGTCTCAAGTTGACATATCACACAGTTGGTTTTCATGGACTACATATTTTTTAAGTGGAACGATATATCACATACATAACTGGGACATGCTTTAATGTATCATCCCTCCTCTAATTGAGTAAGTTGATGTCACTTTAAGTACGGTTAAGTTAAGATACACGACTACATATTGTGTGTATTCTTTTCAGATAGGGCAAAGTAAAATAATTGACGAGATTGCAAAGTGTTTTGTCGAGCGATAATTCCCCACCCCCACCTGTTTGTTTACTAAGTTGTCAAGATTGCTAACAAAATGCGAAGATCTCATTCTGGTTAGTATTGCATTAATAATGCGTTGAGTGGGTCATTTCTTATTTCATACATAATTTTTGCTCTCGCAGGTGGTTATGGCTATGAGCCGTTACCAAGTACATCTTCTCACAATGCTATGGAGGATGAGAACGAGAGGATGACTGAGGAGTTAAAAGATAAAATTCATGCGTTAAAATCGTTGTCCATTGACATTGGCACTGAAGTAAAGTACCAAGACAAAATGTTGAGATCTATGGTTAGTGAGTTGGATTTGCAGGCATAATTATCAAGTCCCGAATGTTATCTTACTGTAGGAAATAATATAAATACATTTCACAGGACGATGACTTTGAGAGAACAGGTGGTTTCTTGTCTGGTTCGGTGGCACGTGTGTTACGTCTGGCAAAAGCAGGACACAATTATTACATTCTATACCTATTCCTGTTTTCCATAGCAGTGTTCTTCGTATTGTGGATAGTTTTGAAACTTAAATGATTGTACCTAAGATTTATGACTAAAAGGAAATGTATATAATACGTAATTAAGATAAAAATATGAACATTGTAATATTATACATAGACGGAGGAAAAGGGTGGAAGTGTTAGCTTAGATCTTTTACATTATTTCACTGTGATGGTGACGAAAAAACAATAAGAAATTATTCACGTCATATTTATTCAAATCGTTTTCATATGTGCGTTGTCATATCATTCTTAAGTAAATATTTGTTATCTCATTATCTAAAAGGTAATATATTGAAATTATCTGTTTCACAAATCTTATTATGTTAAAATGAAAAAATATCACTTATTTTGCCGGTTGTATTATTAATAAATAGAAGTTTATTTACTCTATCCTTGCACCGTACGACTTGAAAATAAATTTAAGCTCTCGTAAAGTTCAACTTATAATCTTACGGTTGAGTCGTACTATTTAAGTAAAATAAAATGATGAATTTGCAGGACGTCGAGCCATAATTGTTAAAATAAGAATCTTTCGACCCGTCGTTGAGTCGTAATACTCAAAATTAAAATCCGTCTGACCTATCGTTGAGTCGCACTACGACCCGCTCTTCATTGAAGATGGTGGTGGCTCGTAGCGGAGAATTGTGAACTATATTTTAGAATACGATAACCGTCTGATGCAAAGACTCAGAGATAGATGCACCAGAGACCTGGAGATGGCGTGATTATCCATGTTCACTTGTATTGGAGAAGATAAACACGTGGGATATTAGGCGAGCTTGAAAGGTGTGAGGAACGATCTCTAACGTTTGTAGTTTTAATAAAAAGTATAGAATAATGAAGGTGAAAAATTTACGAAAGAATCCCTTCGGTCGACCCAAGGAGAATAGGGACGAGACAAATGAAGAGGTCGAGGACTCAGGAGCCGGTACTTCGACGGGTAAAAAGTCGGAGGTTACACTGCCTTCGGACAGTAACTTCAACCATATCAAGTGCAAAGCTGTGAGGCAACAGAAATGCCAGAAATTAATGAAAGAAAAAGCGAAAGCGAAGAAGGAGGCGAAGAAGGCGCGGATACAGGCAGGCGGCCCGAAACAAGTACCGCACACTATCGAGAGTCTGCGAGAGAAGGATGAGACTATGATCGTGGGTGATTTGGAGGATGAGGCCAACCTGGAGCTCAAAGTCGAGTGTCAGAACGATGAATTCGCGGCATACTACCGGCAGGACTACGAGCCTAAAGTCCTTATCACTTATGCCGATAACCCGAACAGAAAAACGAGGATATTCGGCAGGGAACTCACGAGGATAATACCCAACTCGATTTCTCTGTACAGAAATCGTTCTGGCGTCAAGAAAATTGTAAGGAGCGCTATCCCCAGGAATTTCACGGACGTAATAATAGTCAACGAGGATCAGTGCAAGCCGAGTATGCTTTTTTTTAGAAAATATGTTGTAACGATACAATACATATATAATATTACCTAAAATATTGACTGAGCAGAGAAAGAACTCTGTGAGCGCTTAGTGATTATTATCTGTGATTAAAGTATTCTTTTAGATTCTTGATAGATCCATAAGATTATACCAATAAGGAATAATAAAATGTTTGCAATACTGTCTTTCAGATACGTTAAACGCTAAAAGTACGTTTTGATATTCACTGCAAATCTTGTAACAGTTTGTGTTACATATTTTATAGATTTGAAGTGCTGGCAGTGAATCCCGGAGCATACTGGAGCGTTTGTATCTGAAAGACGGTATTGCTAAAACTCCCTAATTGTCAAGTGCTCACTGAATCATCTTCTCTGCTGAACGCAGGCATTAGATATTTTTTAGGAGGTAAAAAGCTTTTAAGTTTGCTGTAGTTAAATACGCTTTCTTTTAGATGGGATGTTGGTGATACATCTGCCAGATGGTCCTACCGCACACTTCAAGCTTAGTAATGTTAAGATCACAACAGAACTGAAGCGCAGTCACAAAGAGATCACGGAACACAGGCCGGAAGTTATTCTAAATAACTTCACCACGCGTTTAGGCTTCACTATCGGCAGAATGCTTGGAGCATTGTTTCATTATCAACCAGAATTCAAAGGGCGAAGAGCCGTGACATTCCACAATCAAAGAGACTATATATTTTTCAGGCATCACAGGTAACTTTCAATCGTTTCTTCTCATCTATCTTCCGCGGTAAATTCATATCTCGATCCAACATCAATGATTGTGCAGGTACGAGTTCAATCTTAAAACGGGAAAGCCAAGATTGCGTGAATTGGGCCCACGATTCACGCTCAAGTTAAGATCGCTGCAACATGGAACGTTTGACAGCAAATACGGCGATTATGAGTGGATCATACAAGGCCGCAGGCACGATATGGAGACTAGCAGAAGAAAGTTCTTCTTATGATTTCTCGATGTACTGGGATTATGTTCACAACGAGAGAACATTTCTTCGAAGTGGTCAAGATCCATACCAGCCATGTTGTATAAACATACAAATAAACTTTATATTAATTCTCTCATACAAAAATATATATGTTATGTATGTTTTATGTAACGCTTAAAAAGGAAAAAGAAATACTTCATTGGTCTCTGATTGAAAAGCGGTACATAAGTCAATCGATTAATAATGTCGTAGTTTGAAACGTGTATAATGTACGTTCGTTCGTTTCAAAACGTAGGCTATGACTTGAAGGCCTCCTATCTTCACACTGACTGCTCTCATTAGAATGAACAAATCACCCGCTGCCTTGTAAGCCTAAAATAAAGCGGAATTCATTGAAATTAATTAATGTCAAAATTGCATAGTAAAATATTGTATTTTTTAATTTTGAAATATTTTTCTTTTCAACAGTTACTTGATTAAAACTCCGCTTGTCATGGGTGAGCAGAACCAGTCGTCCGGATGATTGTTTAACCACACGGCCGAGTTCCAACAAAAATTGTTTGTAAAGACGCTCGTTATTTGATCTCTTTCCACTTCTCTTGCCGAAAGGCTGTGAATTACGCAAATAATTTCATTCAGAGAAAATGAAGATATTTTAACGTAAACTGTGTAAAGGTCAGATGGGAGATTAAAAAAAGAAGACACACCATATCGGTGACAATGATATCGACGAAAGAATCCTTGAGCGGTAGATTCAAAGCCACCCATTGCACGGGATTTATTCTGGCTTCCGTTGCCGAGCCGTTTATATTGAACTTTGTTCTCTCCAGAGCTTTGGAGTTGTTATCGCCGCATAGAATGCATAAGTGCGAAAAAGCCAATGCCGCCTAAAATTTGCATGCAAAATCAGCACCCAGGAAAGTCTATGCCGCCGTAAATACGCAGTACCTCTATAGGAATAGATCCGCTCCCACACATCGGGTCAATTATTATATCACCCGGTTTAGGATTCGCCAGTCTTATTAGATTGTAACATATAGTTGACCTGAGAGTGGTCGGGCCGAAGCTCACGATATTCCTGCGGTGCTTAGATTTATGCGTCACACGTAAAAGTGTCACCAGTTGTTCTAAAAAAAATATATATATATAAATAATTTCATTAAGATTATTTCTTGTCTATTGATGTGCATGGTCTATTTATTTTAGAATTAACAGATTGAAACGTGTGCTTTCATTTCTCCACTTTACTCGAATCGCATAAATAATTCTAGTCTCATCGTACGTTCTGTCAATTTGCAGATAATCTCCAAGTGATACTTGGATAGATCCACTACCCAGTGATATTTGGTCTGCAATTCTCCTCCAATAACATAGGCTACATCAGTGGACTCAAATTTGTGTTCACCAAACCTTTCGCATGTTACTCTATATCTAAGTATATCGTCCTCCTTTGACTCTGATGGATCCACGCCTCTTTTTCTACCCTTAGTGGTCACGGACTCCTTAGTATTTTCTGACTCTTTAATGACGCCTGACTCCTTAGTGGTTTCTGACTTCTTGACAGTCTCTGATTCTTTAGTGATCTCTGACTCTTTGGTGATATCTGACTCCTTAGTAGTTTCTGGCTCCTCAATAGTCTCTGATTCCTTAATGGTCTCAGACTCCTTAACAGTCTCTGATCCATTAATAGTCTCTGACTCCTCAATGGTCTCTGATTCCTTAATGGTCTCAGACTCCTTAACAGTCTCTGATCTATTAATAGTATCTGACTCCCCAATAATCTTTGATTTCTTAGTAGTCTCTGATTCATTTTTGGTAACAGGAGCTTGCTCTTTGGCAGAATTATATTCCTCCAATGTAGGATATAGCTTTCCCATAAAACATGTCACCCGTTTCCATATATCGAGACATTTATTCAGATTCATATGCTTGTGCACCGCATCCTTGAACAATTCTAAATCAACTTTCTTATCAGTCCCGTGAAAAGCAACAGTCTGCACATCAGCTACTATAAATACATTGTCTATCGATCTCATTTCTTGGACCTGCACAACATACATCACAAAATAATATATACATAAGATACGATTACCTCCCAGATATGGGACGTTGAAAACAAAAAACACATTTGTGTACATAAAAAAGCGTACTTTCTCATATTGGTCCCACTTTATGTTAAAATATATCCTCCCGCGTTCCTTGATCGCCTCCGCCGAGACGCCGTCAATTTTCTCCCTGTGTTCGTCAATCGCCTGCCACTCGAAACCTACATCAAGACTGTTCGCTTTAGGTTATGTTTGCGGGGACCACACGTGGACTTCTCCCTGGCAGCTCGCGGACGATCACGTTATTACCTGTGTCCACGGTAGCGCCGATCATGAAGATATCGTCGTTCGTTAATGACTTGTCAAAAAGACACTTTATCTTATCCATCGCGATCGCAGGCGAGCTCAAACAATTCAACGTAACAACCTCGCATCAACCGGTCTACCGGCGCAACACCTCGCGTGTGCACACGTGATATCGCGCATGACCCGCGGCGATCTCGATTCGAGCGCTGTCGCTCGCGCACCGTCGAGACAATTCGAAGGGCGACTGAACTCGCACTGATCTCTTCTCGTATAACAATCACCGCATTCACATTAACTGCAATTTTATCGACCCGAAAATTATTCAGGAGTTCGCTCGTTCTCGTTGCATACATAAATGTGTTATCGAGGGAAGAGGAAAAAAAATCGAAAAGAAAGAAGGTGACGAAATGCGTGAGCGTTTCTCACGAGATGAAGTGAGCGTTTCCTATCGAAATATCTCGCACGTCTCGCGTTCGATTGCTCGCCGAGCGAGCTGAAGCGCGGAGAAACGTGCGGAGTTGAAGTTGCCTTGCAAAAATCGATTCGGAAATTCGGACGCTAAAGACGTCTCCTGCCGATATTCAGTCGGATATTATATTTAAGACGGTCTTAAACATGAGATCCGATTATAAATATCAGCTTTGGAGAGCTCGAAGAGGAAAGAGTAAGAAAAAGAGGGAAAGAGAGAGAGAGAGAGAGAGAGAGAAAGAGAAGGAAAGAGACTAGACGCAGTATCTCTTTCTAGAGCTGCGTTCGGAAATTTCACCTAGATGCATCCGGAGAAACTCGCATTGTTCGAAAACATTCGAGTGATACTGATAGTCTATTTTTTTATAGCTGAACTGGCTGCATTAGTTCAAGAAAATTACACACAATGAAACGTGAGAATCTTGTACACTCGGTCACAGGTTGCAACAATTTTTTTTTATATACATAGTTTACGAAGCTATAAAACCCTGCGCACGATGGAAATGTATTAGGAATAAGTATTAAGTATTGAAAATAAGAATCAGGAATAGTGTGATTAAACATAACGCACAATGAAGAAAAATGAAATATAAGATACAAATGAAATATAAGATACAAATATAGAAAATTGCCATACAGCCGTTCATTTCATTCCGTTGTGCGAAAATAACTCCTAATATCTGTTCCTGATAGCCCGGTTTTTCGACCCGGTTTTTCACCAACGCAAGTTAATCAAATCAGTCGATTAAATTCAGCCCTTCCCATGGAACTGTTCAATCGCATCATCCGTTAGATAGATGCGATTGGCCAGTTCCAATGAACAAACTGAATTTAATCGACCGATTTGATTAATTCACGTTGGTGAGACCGGACCTTAATATTTATTCTTATTCTTAATATATGTTCCAATATTGTGCGCAGGGCCTGACGGAATAAGCCAATAGCTGGAAAGCAGCGCGCTGCGTGCCGAGTCGGCGTTAAAACAAGCGCGGAAAGCATCGCGACGCGTCCAGGCCGGCGAGGTGTCGCCCTCCGATAAGCGGAATTAAATGGTCGTAATGACGGGCTCGTAAATAATTAGCGGTCGGACGGGGTTCCTGGGAAACTGCCGTCATTATATTACATCGATAAGTATTTTCGGCGCGCGATCTCGCGTTCACGCGACACGTTCGCGCGACGCGCCGGCCAGACGTTATAAATGAACCTATCGGATATGCATGGCGCAGCGACGTTATACCTTTTCGCGCTGTCAACTAACGTAACCGCGTGCGGCAGCGTCGAGAGCGCTTTCCCGTGTTTTAATCTATTTCATTAATTAGCGAAAATTACGGCAACGCGCACTCGCGCGATCGCCGCCGCCGCCGCCAGCGACGATCACGACGGCGACGGACGGTGGAATCAATGCTATTTTATGACACTGAGAGCTGCTCGCGCACACGCCAAAGTGCAAAGGTGACTCGAGGCCGTTGTTAGCGCGCAGGCATATAATTCGACGGTTACCCAGGTAGAACGGAAAAGCGACGACGATGTCGAAATGACGTCAAAATAATGAGAAAGTGATGGAAAAGTGAGCTTTTATAATCATTTTCTCGCCGTTTTGACATTATTTTGATGTCATTTTCACATCATCGTCATTTTTTGTTCTACTCAAATAAAGGTGGAGATGATTATCGTTATATTCGATATTTTTTCTATATTCGATGTCAAAATATCGAATAAAATATTGCAAATAGAATATCGAATGTATATTTTTTAACTACTCATGAGTTCACGAATATTTTTCACGCTAAGGCTGATTATCGTTATATTCGATATTTGTCCAGTATTCAACGCCAAAATATCGAATAAAATATTGCAAATAGAATATTGAATATATATTTTTTGACTATTCATAAGTTCACGAATATTATTCACGCTAAGGCTGTTATTTCATGCGTCGTACGAATAGTAGTCGGATGTTCCGATTGGCCGCCGAATAGAGCAATTCTAGGGTTCCTAACATTTCCTCTGGACACTGAAATATCTTATAACTGCAGCATTGCTCGATCTCAAATTTAAGAGTGCAATGAGGACAGTGTACAAATGTCCTCTTCTTCATCGGAAAGAAGCTATAATACTGCTGTTAAGAGATCCGAAAAATAGCAAGACAACAATGCAGCTTTTCTCCGATATTATAAGATAGTCCGTGTAACTCAACTGGAAGGACTTATGATTTTATTTGGTATAAATATATGAAAAATTTAAAAACGAATTCAAACGAGAACTTATTCAATCCAAGGAAATACAATCCGAATAAACATTATTTTAATTCCAGGCTATTTTGCCAGAAGATTCCGTAAAATACTGACAGGATTATAAAGCATTACCTCCTGCTCTGATCGAAACTGCATTAAAATATTGTATTACGATGGAGTCTACTGTAGCTTCAGCTATAAATAATATTGTAACTGAAAAACAGCAGATTAACAAGTCGTTACTCTCATCGATCTCTAAAACCATCCTCCACAAAATTATTTAATTCTCGTCTAAAAAATTCTTCTGTAAAATCGATATTTATTAAGTTATTTTAAAGGGCAATTTCAAGTTAGTCACTCTGTATAATTCAAACCCGAATAAGACGCAAACTTTGAAAAAAAATAATCAAAATTATCGACCAAGTTTTCAAGTATGGCATCCTTTTAACAATCGACGAAAGACAGACACATCGTCGGATGTTCATCGCAGAATCGAGGGACACAATTTTGTGAAATGCGTTTTTCGCGACACGATCGATCGATGCGCGCCTCTCTCTCTCTCTCTCTCTCTCTTTTTCTCTCTCTGCGAGAATAATACTGAATTATTCCGAGTCGTTCGGCGATGCACACTTTCGTGGCTTCACCTCGCCCGTTAATAGATTAATAACGGCGCTATGAATAACGAGGATATTCCAGTCGGGATCCGCGAGGCGATATCATTTTTTCGCGGTCGATAATAATGCCCGAAACTCGCCGGCGGAACAATGATCAATAATGCCAGCGCGTTGAATTAACATGTGTGCTGTATCGCTCGCGGATAATTTATCGTCCGAATAACAAACAAAGTCCTCGCACATCCTCGATGCCGAAGGCGCTTTTATCATTTACAGGATAATCCTAGCCGACTGCGAATTTTGCACATTTTGTTTTTCCAAGCCGTCGCAACCTCCACCCCCTCCCTTCTCTCTCTCTCTCTCTCTCTCGTCCTTCCTCTCTCTCACTTGCGATCTTTATGTAGCGCGGCTCATTCAAGGTTCAGGCTTGAGCGGTTCAATAACCCTTTAGCGCGGCGCATGAATATTCAGCGAAAGCGCAATGGGCGTCCATTGTAAGTGCCAATTTCAACTTTGTGCGCGCACACGTCTATGACTGAAATCCAGTTTCTCTACTTCGTCCGACCGACCGACCGGCCGGCCACGGACGTACGCGACGTGAAGGCTCATATTTCAGTCGATCATCGTAAGGCACCAAATGTCAAACGCAGACAGACTCGCGGAGATCCCGCGGAACATCTTGCACGCGCGCGCCCCAACGATAAATCAGTCTGCCGATTCGCGGCAGCTCCTCTCGGTTTTCCTCATCGCGCTCCTTCGTGCCGCTACGTGAACTTAGTTTCGCGTGTTTCCCATCGCGAACGACGTATCATCCGTATTCCACATTTCGCTGCAGCAGGTCGACCGCCAAACTAATTTCCACTGGTTGCACAAGAGCCTCTCCGATCGATTAATATAATTAAATGTTAATTGAATCAATGAAAATCAATGTTATTCAAGGTGCATGCGTCTTTTACCTCGTTTTATCGGTGCAATTTTTGAAAAAGTAATTGAAAGAGGCCAATATGAAATAGTGATAAGTGTTGGTAATCGATTGCGAAATTGAGAAATTATTTGATTCACGCGCGGAGAAAAGTAACTTTGCTGGCACAGCAAATATTATGCTATCGTAACAAAATTGATCGGGTTCTCTATGGACAGTAAGACGATTTGTTAAGAATACTAATTGCCATTCGCTGGGATATTTTGCTGAATCTACAAATTACTTTACTGTGAGAACAAATTAATAAATGTAGGAAGCTACTGTTTTACTTTAACGAATAAACGTGTCCTAAGAGAAAATTCACTCGGCAGATTATTTTCTGTCCCGGCGACAAAACTGTTTCTGCCCTAATTACGAACAATTCGCTACTTTGTTTACGTCAACTAAATTTTATTGCCGTCGCAACGAATATGCAGTAGCAACGATATGTGGTTTCGCCACAACAGCAGAATTACTTTCCTCCGTGCAAAGGCGATGAAAATCTAACGTCCAAATGTTACGTTTCCATCGTAAATTTCGATCCTCTCCGTGAAAACCACTGACTGTTTTATTGACTTTTTCTTGGACGTACCGTTAATTTTGCAGGTATAATTAATTTTATGCTTTACAATCGAATATGGTAGAGTGTCGTATATACCGATGACACCACCACCACATTCAGTCGTTAAAAATATTATCTACGTGTAGTAATAGTAGTTTGTTTTGTGTTGTAAAACCTACTTCGTATGAAATATCAGCGATATCTATACAAATAGAATCGAATGGGAAGAATTGCATTATGGAACGTTGACCTGAACGTTGTTCTGAACGTCGCAGCCGCGCGAAAACGTCGGGATTTCGGGTCGT